CACAGAGAGTGTATATATTTTTTTTTATCACACTCTATATATATATATATATATATATATATATATATATATATATATATATATATATATATATATATAAACAAAAAAAAACAGATTGGGTCAAAGGTTCTTGGAGTATCGGCGTCTGACGGAGTCTCTGTAGAACTGGAAGATCTTCTCTGACGCTTTCTGACTGACGGCTATGCACTGCTGCAGCTGTGGAAGATGGAAAGTCCAATCAGAACCGTCAGACGGGCAACAGACGGGTCAGAAACGAAGAAAATGACCAACCTCATGAACCGAGAACGAGCCTTTGGTTGATGACATCATCACTCTGCGCTCTTTGCTGTCGATGGCGAAGGTCATCAAAGCTCGACTTTCCTGAAGAGAATTTTAAAAACATGACGAGTTTTGACTTCTGCAGACAAACATGTACAGAACCTGCAACTTTACAATAAACGATTAATCGATTATTGTATTAATCGTGAACTAATTTTACAATCGATTAATCATTAACTGGAGTTTACAGATTAAAGAAAAGATAAGTTACAGGAAGAATAATATATATATATTATATATTTACTGTTTTGTTTTAACAGCAGGTTCATCCTTTGCTACAAATGATCAAGCGTTCAGTCAAGTACTGTTGTGTTTTAGGCAATAACATGTTTATTTTCTTGTTTAACAAATGAACTGAATTATTTATTTGCATCTTTTAAGGTATTTCTAATATTGTATAAAAGGCTAAATTAAAAATATTCAGAATGTGTCGATTTTTTAATCCAATAATCACTAGAATAATCTGTTACTAAAATAATTGTAATTTGCAGCTCTATTTACAAAGCTGTTTTGCAGGAGAAGTGTTTTAAACGCTGCCGCCAGCTTTTTTATTTATGAGAAGTTTAAAGAAGTAAAAGTAGGAGAAATCCAGCTCCTCTCCAGGCCATGAATAATCTGAGTTTGATTAATTTTTTTATTGCTTTTTTGAGCTTCAGATTTACCTTTTCCTGTGCTGCAGTCGGGTCTGTGATGATTTCACCGTCTGCGCTGATGGCGCAGGTCACTCCACAAAACAGGCAACTCATAGACAAGCCGGCGTCCATCAGGGCCATGCAGGCTGCGTTCAGACAGCAGGACAGGAGCTGAGCTTTTAGGTAAGGAATGAGGAACGGCACCAATCAGCCAGAAGGTTTAGAGAACCCAAAAACTCACTTATTTTTACTCAAGGAAAAGTAAAAAGTAGCTGCCAAGAAATTACTCAAGTAAGAGTAAAAAAGTATTTGGTAAAAATTGCTGAGCAACTGATCAAATTATCAATCATTACATGATCAGATGGACCAAAATTTAAAGTTAACTGGAAATTTTGGTATTTTAAGGACCAAAACTAAACACTTAAAATACCACACTTATGTATATAGTTGTTATAAATGTTATATTTACTAATATTTATCACTTTGGATGGAGAATATGTGAGCCTTTAAGCAATTTCCCCTTGAGGACCAATAAAGTCTATTTTAAATAATGTAATTAAAAAATAAAATCAGGCAAAATTGTTTTTTTCCAAATCAGTTTCTTTCAATAAAAAACTGATTAAACTTTAACAAAAACAGCAGGTCTGTGTCTGGTGAATTTTGGTTAAAACATGTTTGTTTTTCATTCAGTGAGTAGAAAGTCCAAATATTTTACTCAAGTAAGAGCAGAAATACTCATGATAAAATGACTCAAAGTACAACGTAGTAAAGATACTCCTAAAAACAAATGTTTTGAAAGATGTTACTCCAGTAAATGTAACTGGCTGCTTCCCCGCTGTGCTCCAAACCAACAGAACCGTTTTCAGTGAAGGATACGGCACCGTCGTCGTGCAGCACCTGCAGGATGAGCGTGAGCGACGAGCGAGGATGGAGAGATAAAAGCAGAGACGCCTCACACGTTTCCCGCACACATTGTTCCTGTGATCGCTCCCTCACACCTAAAAGTAAACATGAGTGTGAAGCAGCTGATTCATTGACTTTTTTTTTTTAATCAAAAAATTGTCTGTACTTTTTCTATTGACTGTTTTACTGTGACTTACCCGGCAGTCCCACTTTGGGATGAACCAGAACCTCCAGGGTTGCCCGGTCGTAGATTTCCTTGCTGATTTTGACTTCAGCAGGTCCGTAGACTCCCGCCATCACACTGGTGTCTCCTGTAGAAACAGGCAGAATAAAGAAAATTAAAATAAGAAAAAATTATGAATATACAACTTTTCTCAAACACTGTGGAAATGGCACAAAAATTATGTTGTAAAACTTTGTAGCTTTAGCTTATGTAATGACAGTTGAGTTTAAAACTGCCATTAGAAACAACTTCTTTCAATAATCCCAGTTTAGGATTCAGTCCAGAAACTAATCTGCAGCGTATCAGACATGCATTTGTTAAAGAATTTGCTTGAATTATGAAATGCATCTGTTATTTTCATTATTCCAAAACTATTGAGTGTTACTGTATACATTTAAACAAGAGTGGTGAAGGCATCTTGAAGAGAGAAAGTGAGATTTGTCCATAATCTGATCATTTACCGCAGAGTTAGGCGTTGTTAACAAAAGCATGAATAGTAACAGTTGAATAATCTGTCGACCATTTTGACTGTTTTTGAGGCTGAACGGGGAAAAACTTTTTTAACTAATTAGTTACCCTGAACGAAGGACGCCGATCCATCAGGACGGGACAGTAAGGTTTGTTCACACCCGAACTCTCTGAGAGAAACAGTTGAAGGAGAGACTTCCATCATGCTGCCTTCACGGTGGAGACGATGTTTGTCGCAGCTAAATGACGTCATCGTTTTTTGCCCTTCAAAAAACTGCTCTTTTAACTTCAAATGCGATGCTTTTAACATCATTAGTATCATGAAATTATAATACTAATTACGAAACCCGTGTGTTGACATTTATTTAAGTCTTTAATTGTTTGTTCCCGGAATTGTTAGTTCAGAGCGGAAGTTGAACGACTTGTCATTCTTTAATATGACCACCAGATGGCAGTGTACACAAATTTTATTTTCTAATCAATCGTCGTTATTATTCCTATTCAGATTTTTTTCACAGACAAAATAACAGCAATTATTATCATGATTATTATTTCGAAACGTTTCGAAATAATAATAAATTAAAACGTCGCAGTTATACGTCGAAGCAGTATTTGAAAAGGTTTTATACAACACGACATGAGAACAAAAAAGGTCAAAACAATATAAGAAGAAAAAAAGAAAAGCAAAAACGTGAATTAAAAGTTAGATTGTAAGCACTACAAGCACTTTTAATTGTTATAGTTTTAATTTAACATCAAAAAATGTTTAACACTTTAAAACTTTGCTCGAAACGAAATCAGATTAATAGAAGAGTCTTTTATACATTTTCTGTGAGCAAAGAAATTTACAGAAAGAAGAGGACATATGTGCATCAATTTTATATTTGAAGAAAATATTTGGTTGGGTATTCTCTGTGAATATTTTTAAGAGAAACTCCTTTGACGTTATTAGTGATTATGAATTTGTGTGGAAGAGACTGTATTTTTACCCAGTCAAGATTCTGCACGACAACGCCCGTAAAGAAATCAAACTTTCTAGAAATAAAGATCGGTTTTGTTTACCAAGAGGACTGGGAACTCCTCCTATTATGTTGTTGCCTAAAAGCGGCTTGAACTGACGTAACGCGGCCTTTAAATACTCCTGTCGCACATCGTGAGGTTCTCTTTTCTTCGTCCGCTGACTTGCGAAAGTTTTGGTCAAAGTACGAGCAATGAGTGAGTATTAATCTACTTTTTAATCCAGATTTAGCAGATCTCACACAGACATATTTGCACCCGCTGCTTTAACGGCATGCAGGTTTGATAAACGGCTGAACTGTGTTGGAGACATGTTTGTTTCCCCGCTTTGAATTCTCGTACTTAGCAATAGCGTGCTAGTTAGCTGCTATATAGCTTTAAGCTAGCCCGAGTTTGTCTGATGTTGGGCTTGTTTTGAGGGACTTAATTCGTAAAATTACTCGTAGAGTGGTATGTTTACGAATAATGTTAAATGTTTGGCGTTAGCTGTAGTTATCGCCATACTTATGCGGTTATTTTATTTCGTTTTTTTTCCGATAACACGTGGCCCGGCTGGGAATCGAACCCGGATCTTGCGATTTCAAATATACGCGGTAGTTTTAGCAACACTTTAAGAGACTTTAAAGTAAATTATCGACAACGAACGTTAGATTAGTCTCACGCTAAATAGTTGTAAGAGTTGGAGAAATAATTTAGCAACTTAAAATCAATCTAAAACAAGTGCAGATCAGATTAATGTCAAATTACCTGCAGTTTTGTAGGCTAAACTAATTAAATCGGTTACTCACGCAGAATATATCATATTTTTAAAATGTTTTTGATGGATTGACCACAGCTTGCTCTTATTTATCCGGGATTCTCCAGCTCAGTGGACTGATCCCAGAGCAGCAGTGGAGAGAGAAAATCAGGTTTTGCTTTCATCTCTGCAGTTCTGGTGGCAGAATGGTGACAATGAGGCCTGGCACACTTAAACCTGCAGTAATTCAATAAAGCTTAATTTAGGACTGGGCGATCAAATCGATTTTTATCGGTTAAATTAAATTTGACAATTTTATAGCTTCTATATTTGGACTTTGAATTCAGGTCAACTCTACAACAAAATAAATGGATAATTTTTAAATTAATGGCGTCATAATGTTACAACAATGCAGTCGTAATATCAAGAGACTGAAGTAATTTTATGAAAACTCCAACGCTAAAAATAACAATTCATTATCCAAATCTATTTTTCTCATTAAAATTACTTTTTTCCTCGTATTTTTAAGACATTCTAGTAAAGTTTTGTCTTTATTCTACTAATATTCTTATAATAAAACAAAAATTCTCAGTTTTGCCTGTACAACCCGCAAGAAAGGATGAGTGAAATAATCCACATTTTGAAAATATTTCCTAGCTTTTGTAATTTCTTTAGAATAAGGAGAAAATTGATTAAAATCATATTTGGATTAAAAAACAAATGTGAAATGTATCTTGAAGGCAAATCACCCAGCTGTAGTTTGACCATATAAAGATGTTGGAAAGTCCCACTTTTCTTGCAACATAATATACACAAATTATGATTGACATTCACTGACTGGATTTGTTTTTTTCTTTCTTTTTTTTTTTTCCCCCTGAAGGTAAAAGTTCAGAGCTGGACCATCATGCCAGTGAACCTCCCAGTCACCGACTGGTCCACATCTGGTAGGTCAAAGGTTAAATCTGAAAAATCAACAATAAGTTTTCTCATAAAAAGTAAAAATGTGTTTATCAGGTTCACTTCCAGTCATAAATATAAAAAATCCTTTCAAACTGATCAAAATGGATCGAATTTGGCCTTTAAATATAGATGTTGGTTTTTAGTTTGGACACTCCTGGATCAGATCGTTGTTCTGGTTCTGATCATGTTTAGTGTTTGACTCTGTATCCAGTGGGTTTGCAGCAGGGTGTGAGCTCTGGTCCTGTACGGTGGGCTGTGAGGCTCACACAGTGCGCAGAGCAAACTTTTCTCTTGCAACCCGCTGCTGTCAATCATCTGCAGCAGCGTTACTTATGAGAACTAACACCTCTGACCTTTAACCTGTCTGTTCGATTTAAATGACTGAAAGAAACTAAAGTTTCCTCTCTTCCACAGGTGCTGGGATGACCTTTAACCCTTAACCCATCAACCTCGAAGCTCTTAGATGTAATCTTATGCATAAGCCAGCTGGGTAAGTCCTGCTTGTATGCAGTGGATGAATTTTCCAAGTGATGATGAATGGCGTAAAATGTTCAACTGCTCTGAAGCCTGAGTGAAATCAGCCCGACTGAACCTGCAGCACTGAAAACTAGACGTGGCGTTTACCGCTCTGCGTTCTCATCAGTATTCGCTCTGCTTCCTGCAGGTTCATCCGTCGGCCATCTTTAACGAGGTGAGTGAAAAACTGTGCAAAATGAAGATTAACGTCATTTCTTTTATAATCGGCCCACTACTTTAGATTATCCAGGCTGTTCAATTTGACGCCTCAAAATCCAGAAGATGATCCAAAAATGTGTATTCAGCCTGAATTTGGATCCGTGTTTATTTTTGATCTTCAGTGTTTTTTTGCTTATAAACCACCTGATTCAGCAATCTGTCCAACGACTTCCTGTTAGTTGATACGTTATTCCAGAACATGATTTGGGTGGGGTAATATTTGGATATTTTAAATTTTTCAAACTGAAGCTTAATGTTTTAACATTCTGTATTGAACGATGCCAAAAGATGCTTTAAAGTTCAATTCAAAAGTACTTCATTGATCCCAAAGGGAAATAAGAAATATATCAAACTTTTGACCTTTTATTTGTCTCTGTATTTTGTTCAAACAGAATTTGGACAAAGTTTATAAGCGTCTACAAAATACTGTAATAACGCATCAACATGTCAAATGGTAAACAAAACAAAATTGTGTGAATTTTTCCTAAAGTGTCGATCAGAATAATTTTTTTTTTTGAGGCAGAGCTGAGGAATCTGAAACTAAAAATCGACCCGATACCGACTTGGTAAAAAAAAAACCCGTTCAGCCAGAAGAAAAACTTCAGAAAAATTGTTTTGAATTTTACCGTTTTTCTTCTAATGCAGCGCTTCGTGTAAAATAAAAACGTTCGTTTTTAGGTCTTTGTGTCTCTGAGGTCTATCCCGACGGGCCCTTCATGTAGGGCCACGTCGTTGGAAATGCCTCAAAGAGGAAATCTGTGGTTTCGCTTTACCCAGGTGTTCTGCTGTGAGCATTATGGGATACAACTGCAGGACAACAACATGAGGACAAGCTTCAGAAAGACGGATTATCGGCCAGATTTAACAGAGACGTGTGTTTCAGGTCACAGGTGTGGCAGAAATGACCCAGACGGCGTCAGAATGCAAGATGGCGGCGGGATGATTTGGTAAGTCGGGCTGGAAAACGTTTGTTATGGAAAAAGCACTGCGTGGTATCTGCAGCCAGCTGCTGCATCAGCTGGTTAGTTCAAAGGTCAGTGCTAAAGAAACTCAGCTTCTGGCATCGTTGGTCTTCATGCTGCCTGTGTGTGGAGTCCTGGTATTTCAGCTGAAACAAGCTCATCGCTCCAACGGCAGATTAGTTATTGTAGATTTTTAAAAATTACATTTTCAGCTAAAAGTTCTGAAGTTTCAAGAATAATCTCTAATCCTTTTTACTATAAAATTTCTTGGATATTCAAAATTCAGGGGGAGTTTCTTACAAATTCTGAAATTTTGGAGTTCAGAATTTTGTTTTTCCTGGAAAATTCTTGCGTTCAGTCAAAATATTTGATTAAAATCTTCAAATGTTGAGACTTAAGAAATTGAACACTTATGAGTTTGGAAAAATCACATTTCAAGAATAAAGGTTTTGAGAATAATCAAGTTTGATATTTCTTTTTGAAAAATGGATTGATCAAATTCAGAAATTTTAATTTTAAAGAAAATTTCAGATTAATCTCAACTTTTTTTTCCCTTTTTTTTTTTTTTTTAAATTTCTGACTTTTGGAGCTGAATAATTTTCCAGAAAAAAAAATACAATTTGAGCTCCAAAAATTGAAAATTTGTGACAGAGTAATTTTGAGAATATCTCAAATGTCCTTGAAAAAACTTGTGTTAAAATGTCTAGTGTTTTTTGTGGAAATGTGCTACTCCCTTACAATGGCCTTTTATGCCAATATGTTTAATTTTTTCGTTTTTATTTTCATTCCTGTTTAGCTCCTGGGGCTGAGCATCATCTGATGAGATCCAGCTTTTCTGTAAGTTTTTTTTAATGTCTGTGTTAAGTATTAAGCAGCACTGCGGTGTCTGCAGCCAGTTGTTTCATCAGCTGGTTTGTTTAAATAGCAGTGCAAGAAAAAATCAGCATCAGGCATCGTTGGTCTCCCAGCTCCCCATGTTGGCAGTCCTGGAATAGTGGCTGGAACAACCAAACTCCTGACTAAAGATGATTTTAATTGACTGATTCATAGATGGAGGCCCTTTTTCTCTTGTATAAAGTCTTTCAATAAAATTAAGGATTTCCTTAAAAATAAATCATTACATTTCAACATTTTGTCAACTGTGTGAAATATTGACTGAATAAACAGAACATTATGGCTTTTCTCACATTATTAAACTCCGTAGTAGCACATCAGTAGCTTTTGAGAATGAGAATTTGATGCCACGTATCTGAATGAGCGATATTAAAGTGAAACTTGAGGAGTTTGTAGAGTGTTTATATTTCTAACAGAACCGCATAAAGTGCATTTTACATGGCATAACGGACTCTGTTCGGACCGTTACCTTTCTCCACTCTGGAATTTGCCCGCCGCCATTTTTGTTGCTGTTTTTTTACCGGTCGGCTCCGCGTTGAGGATGACCAGCGGCGCCCTCTGCTGGATGACGGCCAAACTACAACACTGAAAGAATAACTAAGCGGACGTTATTAGTTAATCGATTTAAACTCATTTTAATGAACCATTGATCGACAATTGTTTGCATCCCTAATGTATGCTTTCTTTTAATATTTAGGATAAGATTGTTCAGATATTTGATTTTTTTCCCCCCCAGGGTTCAGCTGAAGCATGGATGTTGTAAAGTGAAGTTTAAACAGGGATTCTGTCACAGGTGAGTTTCTGAAGCTGCATGTTTGGTTACATTCTGTCCAGTTTGGTCATATACCAAGGCTTTCAGGATCCGATGTTCCTGACTTGCTGTGGAGTTGACCAGAAATCAAAAACCATCCCAGTGAGCCTCTAGCAGCATTTTGTAGGAGACTCACTGGGGACATGATGCCTGCAAACATGCAGGGACTCTGGCGCATCAGAACTGTAGAAACTTAAATGCTGAACATGAATTTTTATTTTATATTTTTCAGATGCAGATCGAAGCAGTCGTGGACCAGCTGAGGGGAGTTTGCTTTGATGCATCATCATCTCCAGATTAAAACTAAATGAATATTTCTTGTTCTATATAAACTTTAGTAATTTGTAAGCAGATTTTTCTTTTGTACAAAAATAAATATAAGATCAAAGAATCCTCAAGTCTCATTTATGTATGCATTTCTGCTATTAGAGGGAATGTAAAGTCAGTTTTTACTTTGCTCAATACAGTCGGAGTTTAAATTAATAAAAAAAATTAAACCAATTTCAAAAGTGAACTGAAGTTGACTGAATTAAATAGGATCATTGGTAATGGCCGAATTGAATTGGTGCTATATTAATAAACTGAATTGACACGTTAATTGTAAAAATAAACGCATATGGAAGTGTGCCAAGGTGCTAAAAATTAGAAATGATTAAATATCTGAAATGGAGGCGTTTGACATTTTAAATAAGTTAAACTGGAAATAATTTTTAGTTTGGATTTATGTGGTAAATCACTAGATTTTTGTTCAATTATGTAGTTTGGACATCTCTGTTATTTCTTTACTGACATAAGACGAAGCTAACTCACAAGTAACTTTGCAGAGAAATAAGTACTAGCAGATTATTTCACTTATAATAATCTGCCAGCCATGTTCAAAGTGAAAAAAATCTGCCAGTTTTCTTCAATATTAAGACATTTTGACTTAAAACAAGCTCTTATAGCTTGTTGAAAAGTTAGTTATGTCTTATTTCAAGTAAAGTAGGATATTTGGACGAGAAACTGCTTTTCAATACAGGAAGCAATAATATTGATAAAAATATTTTATTATATGTTTGATTCAAATTTTAACTACATTCACCAATTTAATTATTTCATTGCGTAATAAGTGAATAACTTTAGAATGTTTCATTATTTATATGAAACATGTTTCCAGTTTTATTAAATTGATCACATAACTATAAGTTATTTGTGGATTTATGACACTGGGAGACTTTTATTGCCATATTATCTGGAGCCTGTTGTAAGGAGAAAACGAAAAGAAAATGATTGAGTTGTTTTTAGAAGCAGCTGAGACCCAAATGGAAGCATGAAAAGGTGTAAAATGTGAATTTTAATCTCGTTCAATGCATCATAAATCCATATCCTTATCTTCCCGAATATCTGGTAGTTTTGGTGGAAAATAACTACTTTTTTTCCACCAAAGCTACCAGTAGATGGCGGTCTTACCCCGTTAATATAATTAAAAATAGTATAAATAGTTTAATAATACTTATTATTTGCAAATAAGGGTGGAAAATAAGTATTTATTTAAAGAATTTATTTGGAAATAAATTATTTAAATAAATAATTATTGTTCACTTACTTTCCACCCTTTTTTGCAAATAAATGTAAAGAATTTATTTGAAAATAAGGGTGTATTTGCAAATCAGACAATGTGATTTTCTGAATATTTTTTCTCATTTTGTCTCATAGTTCAGGTCCACCTATGATGTCAATTACTGGCCTCTCATCTTTTTCAGTGGGAGAACTTGTACAATCGGTGACTGACTAAATACTTTTTTCCCCAGTGTAAATTAGGTAACCTATTAATTATATAGTGAGTCCGACTATTTCTAGCCAGAACCTCTCAGTCTCACACCTTCAGGTGGTGACCCATAGGCTCTCTCTGGGCTGAGCCCGGCCGGGCTCCAGGGTGGGACAACATGTACGGGCGAGTACAACCACTGTTTCCAACGGTCGTATTCATCATCAGGGATGTTTGGGCTGCACTTGGTCTGGTTCCTCACCTGGGACCGTCTGCACTGGGAGGCATGAAGCCCCAACAGCACAACTCCTAGGATCACTGGGACACTCAAACCCCCCCACCACGATAAGGTGGCAGCCCATGGAGGGGACGTGTGTGTGTGTGTGTGTGTGTATGAGCACATTGTGGTGGTAAGCTTGTGAGGTGAAATGTATTTTTTAGTTGTTTTTTAGGCTCTCATAAAGTTTTCTAGGCTCGAATAAAGTTTTCTATTTATAAGAAATTTTGTACGATATTTGCGCTAATATATAATGATAATTGTGACATTTTACTAGTCGCTCTGTCGGTCTTGGACTATAACTTGACATCAAGTAAGGCTGACACAGCGGTTATTTGTGGGAAAAAAATGAACTTACAATTAGCTACACATCAGCAAGAAGCCCTTATAAATGTTAAAATCTTCTGTTAGGTTCTGATCCGTATTGCCAGAGCGGAGGCAGTGGCCGCGCGCCGCTCCACCATCCTCATCTGCGTCATGCGGACTGAGGACGACCTGGGTTTCTATGACAACGCCGTAAACAGCCTGGAGGCCGGAAAGGAGTCTGCGGTGACGTTCGGGCCGTGGAAGGCCGAGCCGTCCGTCAGAGACCTGCTGGACTGCGTGAAGATGGACATCGAGAGTCGCGGCTACAACGTTAGCATCGAGGCTTACGTGCCCGAGCGCAGCTTCCTGTCCAAGAGCTACGACTTCTTCTACAAACTCACCTTCACCTGGTGGTGACGAAGCGCCCGCGGAGCTGTCTGTGGGTTCAAACTGAACGACTGCACTTTATTGCTTAATATATAATGAGCTGCACCTTGTGGTTTTCTTACGGAATAATGTTCAATCGAAATAAAATACACCGATCTTTTTTTAAAGGGGACCTGTTATGCGAAATTAACTTTTTTTTTTTTTTAACTTTTATTTCAGTCTCTAATGCTCCTACAACCAGCCAAAGTTGCGTTTTTTGGGAATAAGCTAATGTTTTTTTTTTGTGTGTGGGTGTGTGTCTAGAAAATAAGCCATTCAAAAAAAAAAAACCTTCTGATTGTTAAAGTTGCAGTATGTAACTTTTATAAAATATATGATTTTTAAATATTAGTTAAAACTATCACCATGTCTTGACATGATATGAGCAGGTCCGGCGGCATGGGTGGGCATTGGGGTGCATTGCCCGCCCACAGAGTCAGCCATCCCCCCGGACTGGAAGCTGTTTGCTGTTTTCCAACACCCTTATTCCTATATCGATTTGATACAGTAGGCCCAGGGGCTTCCGCTCTTCCAATATTATGCCTTCTGTCACTTTTTTCAGCCATTAAAACAGTTTAATCGTTGTTAACACGTCGTGAACTATTTTTCCTTTAAACGCAACATGAGCGCTACGACGCTTGCGCTGGGTTTACGCCTGTGCGGCAGCGAAGGAGACCTGCTGCTGCTGTGCAGAGCTACGCAGGTGTGTGTCAGAATCATGGCAGCAAACCAGCAAACGCAAAGAACTTTGCACACTTTTCCCCCCCAAACTAATTGAGTAAAGCTGTAATGGAAGTAAAACATGCAAATAAAGCATTACTTAAATGTTTTCTGTTCTGTTGCAGTTGTCCCCCCATCCACCAGAGGGCGCAGCCTCCATTTAATTAAAAATATGCCACAAGGATTGTGTTGGGGGGTTTAACTCAATAACGAGGTTTACGTGTTGTTTACAACCCGGGACGTGTCCACAGTTTACCTTTAACTCCAATTTAAGAATCGGACTGTCGCTGTTGGTGTTAAACGGTGAGTCGTTTACTTATAACAGTTTCGGTTTCCTAGCAACTTTTTAGGCTGTATTTGCTATCATGGAAGAAGGTTGTCTTGTTTTTGCTCCCTAAAAACGCCTGTGTTGGAGATCTGCAATATTTATAATCTAAAGAGCTATCCCCCCCTTAATCCTAAAACAGTTTTACATGAAAATCTACACGACCTTTCCGAAAGGTAGCTCATGTTTAAAAAAGATATTTTGTAAACTAAACGCTATAATTCAGGTAAAACTTAATGATAGATAAACAAATACTGACTTAGCAGTATTAATGTTGCATCTTTTTGCTTTTGTTGAATGAAAACACGAAACCCAAATAGACTCAGAAATAAGTTCTTTATTTTCATTTCATTAATCTGGTTCTCTTGAAAAAAATCGCACCTATTTCTGCTGTTTAGTAATAAAAGGCAGTTATACTTAAATTCACCCGAACAAAATGTTTTTGGGAGGATAATTTTTCATTGGATAGTATTTCTTCAACAGAAAGTAGTTTTTGCTTTGATATTTCGTATAGCAACACTGGTAAATTTCACTTTTTACTACATAGAATCTGAAATTTTAAATATTTTATATCATTTCTTAAATGTTGTGGTTAAAAATCACTAAAAGAAGCTGTGGTTCTTCTCACTCTTTTTAAAATATGCCAGCTATTTTCTTTGGTTATATAGTTATTGTGCTTAAGTTTTTTCTATTGTGAGAGGTATGTGTTTATGTAATAAGTGGGAAGCTAGGTATTATACTTGCATGTTCCAAAAAAAAAACATTTATTTATTAAGCACATCTGTTTCAGCAAAATATTCTAGGAGCCGTTTTTCTTATTTTCATGTTCAAATTCTTTGCAGATTTCACATAAAAGCCTTTCCTGTTCCAGTTTAAATATCAAACCATTATTTAGTTTTATAACATTACAGTTCAAGGTTATTATGAGCCACTTTGGAGAGCCTAAATAACCAAATGTGAGCTGAGAGGCAGGCAGAGTACTCAAAAATTATACTTAAGAGTAGCACTACTCTTCAACCAAAATATAGTTATGTAGAAATGATGGTTTTGCAAGAACCAAAACCATAAATAACATAATTAGAAAATAATAAAATCAGGCAAAAGAATTTTTTTTCCAAATCAGTTTCTTTCAAAATGAAACTTTTGAAACTTTAACTAAAACTGCATGTGTGTGTCTGTGTCTGGTGAAGTTTTGGTTTAAAAAAATGTTTTTCATTAGAAAATCCAGAAATGTTACTCAACTAAGAGTAGAAATACTTGATAATGGAATTACTCAAGTAAAAGTAAAAAGTACAGTGTAGTAAAAATACTCCTAAAAGTAATTTTTTTCCCCAACAAGTTACTCAAGTAATTGTAATTGGTTAACTCTGGTGACCCCTGACCTAAACAGTTTTAAAAAAAAATCTCCAAAGAGTGTCTGTATCTTTTCTCTGGTTGAACTGTTTACTGTTAGTTACATTACCGAATACTTATTATCCTCTTCCAGCCTTGTTGAACAATGACCTCCCCAGAAATTGCCACCCTGTCCTGGGGCCTGATGAAGGTGAAAGGATGCTCCTCCAGCTACAAAGACTGTAAGGTCTGGCCTGGAG